GAACACTCCTACAGCGAAGGCTTCAATTAACTGAGGAGTTCAAAGGCAGTGTGAGCAGGTTAGTTTAGGGTAAGAAGAACGGTGGAAACATGCACGATCATAGAGAACTCAGAGGTTAACAGTTCTCTTTACACATCATTGGTCCTTTAATCTCAGGATTTCCAAAAGTCTAAATGTTTCTTTTATATTATTGCTTTTCCTCTGGGTAACAGAAAGACTGATTTTCAACTAATACTTAATTCAGAGAGAAACAAGTCTGAAAGTTGAATGCATCTGCCCTCCTTTCTGTTGGTTTATGATCTAGAGTTCATAAAAGTGAACGCTAAAATGATAAACACGTAAAATTGAGAACTTAAAATGCACAAGAGATGGACATTTTTAACGAGGGTAAAAGCTTTCTATTTCAGTTTTAAATAGCTTATTTATTTAACTCTAGAGTTTTGTAGGTTGGTGGTTTTACCTTGTCTGACACACAGTGAACAGGGCTCTGTTCTGCTGTCTAACCTAATCATCACTGGAATAATGAACGATTGAACACTTTGCAGTAAATGTTGGAGTTGTTTTGCTCACAGAAAGTCCTTTTACAGTCAGTGAAGGTGGTTTAAAGTGTCTTGGTCAGTCTATCACTGTGCTCTCATTACATGCAGTCCTACAGACTTTAGATTTAATTTCCTTTACAATCTCAGAGTCAGCTTAGATTGAGGTGTGTCCTCTGACGCCCTTGATATTTTTTCCATTAGTGATGAAGAAGATAACACATACGTATTAGTTTACTCAGCATCCTATTAAACTACTTAATTCAAACAGGGTCATGGAAAAACAACTGAGCCTATTTTCACATTATCTTTGATGAACTCTCTTTGTTGCTACACGTTAAAAAGCCAAAATACTCACATCTCTAACCTTGTGTTTACTAGAAAGTATTCAGATACTGTCATTCAGATTTGCATGAGTAGGGCAAAAGCTGGAACTGAAATTCATGCACCTTTTAAAAGCCATAAATTTGGAACAGGCTTTCCATAATCAAGTACAAAAGGTACAGAGCAGTAGAGTAATCAGTGTCTGTACCACTCAAAATACAACCCCTTAGCCTCTAGCTGGCACTTTTATTAAACATGTGTTTAATGTTGTTTGTCTCTGTCAGTCTCTCTCTTTCTGCGTCTCTCCCCTCTCTAATCCCAGCTCAGTCTCTGCAGATGACTGTCTAACATGAGTCTGGTTCTGCTCGAGGTTTTTGCCTGTGGAAGGAAGATTTTTCTCACCACTGTAACACCTTAAATGTTGCACAGTGCTGCACTAATGGAGGATTAAGACGATATTTGTAGAAAACTTGAGAGTAAAACACAATGGGACAAACCGAAGAAAGGCAAGACAAGAGGGGAGCAACATATTACTTTATAAACTTTACTAGTAAATGTACTTCACTTACATGCGTTATTCAATTCTAATAATATTCAGATAATAATGATAATATGATTTTAGACCAGGCCTGTGACTGAAACGTCTTTAAATGGAACATAACGTGTTCAAACAATTGTTTGTCATGCTTTTATTTTGAAATTTTCTGTCTCGCTCATAGGTTGCATTATTTTGAAGTGTACTACTTCTGGTAGATGGAGCTGAATGAAAAGATTTTAAAGATTAGTAAGATATATAAATGTTTGATTGAATGGTGACTTTAAGAGGCACAAACTCTAGTGCTTTTTCTGGATTCACAATAAAAGTCAGTTTTAAAAGTATTTTATCATTTTCTCAAGGGATGCTGCTGCTAGCCTGCTAGCAGCTGCTGCTTCTTCTGTGGCTATCTTCTGTTTTATGGCATTTAGCAACCATCATTAAAGACCCTTCTGTATGAGCTCACGGTATTACGGTAACCTCCCTTTGTGCATTTAAACTTGATATTTCTACACAAAACAGTAACATGAGTCCATGGCAGCAAGAAAAATACAGTTTGCATAAGAATCAAGCAAACATCTTCTTTATAAAGCTGTCAGGCTGAAACAGAACGCAGTATATCAGACTTTACAATCAGCTGCAGAGCTGCTATAAATCATTTTTCACCTTCAAATTCAAACCTCAGCCACAGCAGATAATGGTTAACAGATCACAATCAGTAATGCTGCGTGATTATAGAGATTGATCTTTAAATGATTCAAAGAAACAACAAGTCAGAGCTACGAAGATAAATACATTTAAATGTGATTGGAGCAAAAGTCAAGAAAGCCTCCGAGTTTAAGCAGTATTCTGGTCTCTGTAACATGTGTATCTGAGCCGCTCCTGTGAGTTTTCTTTGGCCCTGCAGCGTCCGTCCCTGCAGATACCAGCAGAGACTCCAGGAGAGCTGCTGACAATGCAGCAAGTGTCCTGTAATGAAGTGCAGGAGCAGAGGACGTTATGTAACACACACACACACACACACACACACACACACACACACACACACACGCGAAGAACATATAGAGGCTGTCCACTTTTACCTTTAATCCAATCTGCCTGCTGGCTGCTTAGTCAGCAAGCAAAGCCAAAAACAACTGTTGATATTTGGGCCCACTGAGCTATTTCTGACTGTGTAACACAAATGCACACTCACATGCACAGTCAAGGAATTTGACTTCCAGTAAAGATGAGTATTTAACCTGTCACATGTGATTACTTATGATCTCACAAGCCTTCTTTTACAAAGATATAAGATATCTAGTTTAACATTTGTTGTATTCTTGAAATGCAGATTAAAATCTAACAAGGTGTGTTGCAATACCAAACTCTTCAGCTATTGTTGCAGTTCTGGCAGGCAGCGTTGTATGCGGGAAAAACAGTCTGCATGGAGAGCAAAAGCAGGCAGAGCCCGCAGCACTGCGATGAAATCCCAGCTCCCATCAGCAGTGATCTGAGGACAACTTTTCCTCTCTATAAAAAGATGAATACATGCAAGTGCAGCTAGATCAGACATTTCCACTGGGGCACAAATCTGCTTGACACTTTTTTTTGCAAAAGCAAATCATCCGGGAGATTTCATGACTTCCTTGAATGCATCAGAGGTTATGGATCATCAAACCTCCATTCAACAAAGATGGAAAGGTCTGGATTATCTGATCAGATCTAAATCAGGATCCTCATTTTTGTCATGTGGTGAAGATTTAATCTATCTGAATATTTAATCTGAACTGAATCCTTTTAATAATCATGCAGTAGTTTTGAAGAGATGGTTCATGTTCGACACTTCAACATTTTGAAATTGTTTTATAAGACTATTTTTGTGTTAACTTTGTTTTAATTTTTAATAAGAACTTCTTGGATGTTGTTTAGGACCCTCCAGTGTCCTCAGACCACAAGAAACTCAAGCTCCATACTGCTCTGCTCCTCTATTACTTTTTCAGCGCTTTTCTCAATCATGTGGCGCCCTCTGCTGTCCTCAACCTAACATGTCTCTTCATTGTGTCGAGCTTTTCCATCAGAGTTTGGCTGATTTATTGTTAAAGAGCGTGATTCCACCACATATTTGTTGTCAAGTTTTTTTATTATTAAAAACACAAAGTAACAAAATAGTGTTGTGGTTTTTAGTCACAACTGAGACTTATCTCAAGACAGAAAGGAGAAAAGAGAAAAACTTCTGGGCCTGCGTTCACATTGTTCAGTACTAAACAAGAGCTTGGCTAAAGATGCCAAATTTGCAAAGACCCAAAACCTGCTTTTATTTCCTCTTATCCACTTTCACATGAGTTTATCATTAACTCCTACACAAGCACACACAAAACTATCTGCTGAGCGGACAGACGCCCTTTCAGCTGTTACCAACATGAATTAGTACTCTGCAGTTACTTGATCCATTGTTCTGACTTTGGGACCTTCACACAGAGTTAATGCTATAAGAGCTCATGGTTTGACAGAACATTGTCACCAGAACTTGCTTTTTATTCTTACTGTCACATGCAGATTATACTAAAAAACATAATGTTTAAAACAGTCACAGCTTGCCCTGGCCTGCAGACTTGTTATGTTAAACTTTATATTATGTACCAACTTGAATATGTTTTGCAGTAACCAGAAAGTAATGGAGATAATATACAGTGAGCAGATGATTATGTTATTCTACTTTTAACCAATAATTTTTTAAACAAAAAATAAAAGTTGCTTTGGTTTACTTTTCAAATTAGATCTCTTACAGGATGAGTAAGACATGTGAAGAAGAGGGGAGTCTCATCTCACTTGATCATTGAGCATGATCGCCTTATTTCCTGGCCACTATCTTAAAACCTCTTTAGTTGGCTCTTAAAATGAAAGCTCCTGTGAGAAACTTTTGGTTTGAGTCAATTTTGGTGCCCCCTGTTGACAAAGTAGTCTTTGCTTATCTTGTCCTCTACATGCTGGAGTCTTGACTTTTCAAGTGCTTGGTTGGCTTCTACCCCCTTGCACCAGATTAAGGTGTGAAAAAATAGGCTATAAAAATCACCAATCTTGTAGTTGATGCTTTTGGATATCATGTAAAGGCATAATTGTGGATTTCAGTTTCAAAAATGTCAAAAAGAAAACTGTGTGCTTTAATTTAAAACTTGATTTTTCAATTTGAAAATATTTATTTTTTTCTTATCAAAAATATAAAGATCATTTAATATCATGGGCAAGAAATTCTCCAACAATTCTCATCAACCCCCCAGCAGGATGAATTACATGAAACTGAACATTTTAATTCATGGTCAAGTTTAAATATCACCCTGCTATTTTTTTTTTATCATCCATATGAAGATGAGTATTTCCAGAGCTTTGCTGTTGAGACTGAGACTTTGGCCACTAGGAAAATTTGGACTAGATCTGAGAGGTCTATAAATCATGACCTGCTCCAAACTGGAGAAAAAAGCAGTGAAATTACCCTTACTTGCATAAATAAATACCCACACGCAGAAGAAAGTGTTTTAAGAAGTCTGCAAACCGTATGAGATGAGTCAAATTGGTATTAATTGTTGAGGTGAACCTCTTAAAAATCCACTGAATCGATGGTCTGCCAGTAGATGGCAGTGATGTGCCAACTCCTAGTCTAGTTTTGCTCCTCCGTCTGTCAGTGAAACCGAAAGTGTTTCAGGCTTAGAAAGAAAGACACAAACTGTCTACAAACATGGAGCTGCTTTCTCAGATCTTTCTTTGTCTCCTCACCCTGTGCGGAATAATGTTTGCTAAAGGTAAGGGGGGGGAAAGGGCCTGTCATTGATAAATAGTGTATGTTTTATCGGCCACATTTAAGAATGATAATCAAGCTGAATTTAGACAGACCACGAAAACATTTAAGTGTATCCCTTCACAACCGAGTAGCCGAGTGAATTTCCTACTTCATAGCGTTATTCTACAGGAATTAAGCATCGGTAACGCCCTCTTCTTTGAGGAAATATGTTAGTTTATTTTTCCACTGTTGCGCTTTTACTCTGTATATTACGGTAATGGGTTACTGGCTGGGTGCGGTGACCTCATGTGAACCCTGTAGCCGGAAGTCAGAAAACTTCGGATATTTGGCTACAAGAGTTGTTTCGTTGTTTATTTTTAAAATAAATTAGCAATATATTAATCATATTATTTTCATTAATCATTCCTTGCGTTATATCGATTTTAATATGGGGTTAAATTGAATGTGTATAAGGCCCGCTTCCCCATGATCCATATAGACGATTATTGTCAGTTTAATCCACCATGTTGTTCTCAAAATCATCTTCAGAATCTTTTTTTACGGTTGGCAACTTTTGTTACCTCAGTATCTTTCAATTATGCTGATATAATGGTTTTAACTCAGGACACAAATGCTGTTTTAATTGAAGAATCTGCTATAATAAGATAAAATATTTTTAGCACATCAAATAATTGTACTATAGTAATGTTTTATACAAACTCAGTCACCTTAATAATGGCTTTCAACTTGTTTCAGTGCCACACTTTTAAATTATGAGATAATAAAGTCATAGCAAAATGTGAAATATGTTTATTATTACAATTGCTAACTTAAACAAATAAAATACACCACATAGTTATTAGCAAATTCATTTCAATTATCCCCCCATATGTTCAGTCACTTTTATGATAACAGTCCGTGTTTTAACCCAGCATTTCCTAATTACAGTACGACAAACTACACTACAAAATGCATTGTTATAAATTGCTATGAATGATCAAAAATCACATTGATTTAAACAAATTCATCCAGGCAATGGTTTTTAATATCAGTGGGTTTGTCTGTAAAAACAGTCATATCATTTCACCGCTGGGTTTATTCATTTAAACTGCTTAAGTCCAGCTAATATAGAAAGAGAATAGGTGTATGCATTCCAGCAGTAGAAAATAAACAAACATTTCTCTTTAACAACCTTATCGCTCTGTCATAACCATTTATCTGTCTTGATGGTTGTGTATTCATAAACCATGTAGTTTGGGTTTGCCTCATCTGCTTAATCAAGCTTTATAATTCCTCTGTTTTGTTCCTCTTTAACCAAACTCCCTCTGAAGTCACTTAAGTGAATAAACGTAATTGGCCTTTAGTCTTGTTTTCTGTTTGCAGCCTGTAAAGTTTCTAACCCGAATCCAAACATTAATTTAGTAAATGTGTTCATCATATCACTGCATTTTCAGTCCACATTTGAAAACTTCTGCAAAATACAGCAGTTATGAAAAAGCACTTTTCCAAAATGGCTTTGTTATCTTACTGTGTTTGCGCATATTGAATTTAATGCTTGGGTAAGATTTAAATGTTTCACTAGATTTTAAAAAAACATCCCAAAAAAATAGAAGATGTGAAGTTAATCATCAAACTGGAGCTCAAGAATATATCTTACGGGATGGATTACATGTCTCTTGATACCTTAACCTCAGTGCTGTTTATGAAAATAAGATGATTTACTTTTCCTTTTCATATCTTGTAGGAGTGGACCTAATCAAAGTGAAAGAAGACAGTGATGTGGTTTTGCCCTGTTCCCTCAGCTCTAAGGAGAACATTGAGTCAAAGCTGTTTGACTGGAAGAAAGACGGTCACATGGAGGTGTTCATGTATGATGGTGGCCTTATTCATGGTACAGGTCAAGATAAACAGTTTGAAGGTCGAGTCTCACATTTTGGAGATGAACTGAAGAACGGCAACGCCTCAATAAAGATCTCAAAGACCAAGGTGTCTGACAGTGGAAGCTACAGCTGTATTTTTCCACGTCTTCAGCCCCCTCAGACGTTCAACATTCAGCTTGTTGTTGGTGAGTTCTTACATGAAACACTCAGAGATGTTTCAGACAATTCTTTAACAAATACATGTATGTGTACATGTTTATGATTAATAACTGGTGTTGAATACTTTCATTGGGATCATCCATCGACATAATAGCTGCCTGATGGACAACCATTCTGTTTAAATGCCTAATATTTTAATTATACATTTTTAAACCACTGCTGATGCTAAAGGTCAGGTTGTAGGTCAAAACCGTCAGTTGTAGTATTTAACGGAGGAAACACCTGTTCTCAGCAGCATATGACCTGAAATAGGGTTATTTTGCAAAGTACAGTTGAAACTCTCAGAGAGGGATGAATTTTCTAGTTAAAAAACAACAAGATGAAAGACCATCGATGACAGGAACCACGTGGTCCAAAGGGAGCTGTAATAACATGGATCAAGAGTGCCTTAGCAGCTTTAAAAGTAGAGGTCAACTGATGGAACTTATGTAATGACTGTTACTGATAATGACTGAGCAGGCTGGCCGATGGCTGATTTAAAATGCTGAAATCACACTGTGTTGTTGTTTTATTCTGCCATTGACAAAACACAACAATTTAACACATTAGGAAAAAATGCTGAACTTAAGTGAAGATTTTAATAAAGGAGACAATATTTGGCTCAGATTGATACTTGTCTAATAAAATCTAATCTAATGAAATGAAAAGAAAATACATTAGTTAATGCAATAGATTTGAGAACATTGTTCATTTACACTCACCGGCCATTTTATTAGGTACATCTGTTCAATCATTAACAATGCATGCAAGCATGTAGACATGGTCAAAACAACTTGATGAAGTTCAAACTGAGCATCAGAATGAGGAAGAAAACAGAGACTTGAAACATGACATGGCATTTCAGAAACTGCTGATCTGCTGGGATTTCCATGCACAATTATTTGTAGAGAATGGTACAAAAAAAGAGAAAATAGGCAGTTGTGTAGATGAATATGTCATGTTGTTATTAGAGGTCAGAGGAGGATGGGCAGACTGGTTCCAGATAAAAGAAAGGCAACAGTTAGTCAAATAACCACTCGTTACATCCAAGTTATGCAGGACAGTACCCCTGAACACACAACAAACCTTGAAACAGACAGGCTATAGCTGCAGAAGACCGCACCAGGTACCACTCCCGTCAGCTACGAACAGGAAACTAAGTTTACACTTCAAACAGGCTCACCAAAACTCAACCTCAGAGGATTGGGACAACGTTTCCTGGTCTGATGAGTCTGGATTTTAGCTGTGACATGCAGACGGTGGGTCAGAATTTGGTGTAAAAAACATGAAAGCATGGATCCATCCTGCTGTGTAACTGTACACCAGTCACCTACACAGTCTCCAGATCTCAGTCCAGTAGAGCTCCTCTCAGATGTGGTGAACAGGAGAGTCACTTCACGGATGTGCAGACAAATCTACAGCACCTGCATGACGCTCTCATGTTAATATGGACTAAAATCTCTGAGGCATGTTTCCAACACCTTGATAAAAGTATGTCAAGAAGAATTGAGGCAGTTCTGAAGGCAAAAGGAGGTCCAACCCAGTACTAGCAAGGTGTACCTAATAAAGTGGCTGGTGAGTGTATCTGGCAGAAACAACATTTAACTGCATAATTCTACACATTAGAACAGAATTTATATTAAGACCAGCAGTGACTGTTTTAGATTTGAGTTGCTGTCATGGTGTTTGTAACTTCCTTGTGGGGGATGATACTGATACAATGCTGATCAGGCCAAAATGCCTTTAATCAGCTATAACGGCCATAATCTTTGACACACAGAAACAAACCCCTAGAGTAGCAGCAGCAGTCATATTTTGATCAGACCATGGTTAAACTATGTCCATATAGGAAGAGGTTTTCCTCTGAAACACCTACAATACTCCGCGTTAAGTATTCTGCCGCTCTTCAGACATCATCTTGTTTTTATTTTACAGTAGATAATGATGAAAAAAGCATTTTAGGACCTATTATTCTGATTCCATCAGAAAGAAGAAAGTCCCCTCTGTTGGATGGCTTATGGATAAATCTATTATTTCTTTCTGTTGGTGGCGAGACAGATAACTGATGGGTGATCCACATTGACTTGATGGAATACAGTACAGCTTTCTACGTGGACAAACATCCTTGAGTTTTCTGACTTCTACCTTGGAGTTTAGTCTTCGTCTTTCACTGAAGCCTCTTCTAATCCATTATCAGAGCCCTCTGTTCAGCATGGATCTACCTGTTGTTGAGCTATATTCATGTACCTAAGCGAGGCCTGTGCTGACAAGCAGGAGTGTGTCAAATCTTTTAGACTGGGGTGCCCTAAGTCCAGTCTCTGACAAGGACTTAAGCTAAACTAAATGATGTTTTGATTTGGAAAAAGCATCTTTGGCCAAAACATCTTACCAAAACCTTACCATAAACAGGACCAAATGCATGTGTAGAACTAGAAAAGCACTCAGAGAGCGCAGACCTCCGCCAAGCAGCTCATGTCCCCCCTTAAAGAGAAATGCCCTCACCAGGGTTTGAACCCAGGACCTTTTGATTGTACGGTGACAGTGCTAATCACTACACCACTGTGCCGCCCATCTACACCTCTGTGCCGCCCATTTGTTATCTTTCAGCATTGAAAATTCCAACGACACCCTTATTTTTGTGTGATCTGGATCACAGTATCTGGAATTTTGTCCGGATCACCATCAAAATGTAATGGGATCCTTCTGGGGCTGAGACACACCTCTGGTGAGAATTTCAGGTCAATCCGTCTGTTACTTTCTCTGTAAAGTTACTAACAGACAAACAAACAAACCAACGCTACCGAAAACATAACCTCCTTGGCGGAGGTAATAAAAGGCTGTCAAACAGCAAATGATCGAGAAAAGAGGCAAATTTTTACATTTATTGTAACTTGGATTGTTTTCCATTCACCCTTTGTCAGGTCGATGTTTGAAGCCCTCTGTTGTAGCACTGAATGACACAAAGGACTGGTCTCAGCTGCAGTGTGTTGTTCGAGAAGCTCCTACTAAACCTAAAGTGGAGTGGAGGGACAGTTCTGGAAAGACCCTTCCTGCTGAAGAGCCACAGGCCACAGAAAGAGGAGGCAGCTACGACATCATCCTCCAAACTACGGTGACCAAGACAGACCAGTACAGCTGTGTTGTTCAGAGTGGGGACATTTGTGATCTGGATCGAAGCAGCATCTCTGTGCAGATCTGTGGTAAGACTTAAAGACATGAAGTGCAACAATTATTTAAAACATTTTCTGTTGTTCAGACTAAACTGGAAGTTTTTCTTAACTTAAAACGTAGAAACAGCATGAATACATGTTATAGTCAAACTAACACGTTCCAATCTCAAAGACAAAAAACAAATAACTGCTGCTTTGTTCACACTTTATCAGAGCCGACTGTACTATCTCACCTTCCATCCAAATCAGGGAAGAAGAAGATAAAGTTCAACTCGGACAACAAGTGCACAACCAGAATAAAGAGGCTCTGAAGAGTTAATCAGCTCTGTTTAGATTGATCAGATCACAGCTACGTTTCACAATTAGATGACAGTTTGACTATTTGAACAACAAGTGTTTTTTATTTTATTTCAGTCCAGCAAAATTGAAGTTTGATTGAAACTAGGGGTGTCCCAAAACAACTTATTTACCTCCGATACGATACAGATATTGTAGCCTTCAGTACTGGTTGATACCAATATTGATCTGATATTAGTTGTGATTGTGAGATGAAGCCTCTTGAAGCATCAAAGCTTTCCATCCAATTGCTCGACTCCTGGGCTGAAGCTTCATTATTGTGCTTCATTTGCTCTACTGTGCCATCAAGTGGACAATAAATGTAAAACAGGCAGAGTGATTATCAAAGACACCCTGGGGCTTTGGTGCACAGAGCTTTGAAATGAATGAATGAATGAATGAATGAATGAATGAATGAATGGATGTGATGCCATGTGTTTGTGATACAGTACAGAAATTATGAAGTTATTAACATGGTGTCTGTCTTTATGACACAGTAGCAGGGTATAAAAGGGGAAGAAGACATAATTTATGGAGAGGGTTGTGAATGTGCTTGTGTTACTTGTTTTGTGACTGTGCTTTTATTATGGGGACAACATATGACACGTAAACATTTCATTTACTTTTATTAAAAAACAACTTTTTAACAAGTCTTAAGTATATGGATTGTGGGGGGGTTCGCTGCCCATTATATATATCCAATCATCCGCCAAACCGCAAACCATTTCTTGAATCAGTTACGTGGTACGGCCAGCTTGCGGGGCTTCAAAAGTCATCACATACATCACCAACACAAGCCTCGATACACACTTCACCAAAATTTAAGACTTAATAGATCATAACTATTACTCATATTTTTGACTGTCTCATATCTTAAAATAAAAACTTACCTTGAACATAAAACCAATCCGAGTCAATTCGGGACCAAAATGAACATCAAACAGCAGTCCTACTTCCCTCTATGGTTCAATATGAAAATGGCCGCGGGATTTCCTACCCCCGTTAGCAGGGCTTACACTTTCAACTCTAGTTAAATGAGTTCATTAAAGCTACTCAGCTTGAAAGAGTTCATGTAACAAACTTGAAATGTTTTACAAGAACTCAATGCTCTACAATTTTATGAATACTCAAAACAATTTATTTGACACCTCAGTTTTTAACTTTCAAGCAAGGTCAGCTTTATAGGGATGAGTGACGGTAACATTTTTTAAATTTTAAGTTATTTGAACTTATTTTGTTTATTGAAATACACTGTTAGGTTTTACAGTGCAGTAACAGCCATCACGAGGCTGGTGTTAACATAAACTCCAAACAAAATACATCTTTTCATCCCCAAAAACAGCAAACAAATCCAGAGCAGCTAGTGGACGGTGTTTGGATGTAGACTATAATGAAGAGCTGCTTTTATTTACACACTCACTGAGATTTCAACAGGACCAGTGCGACACTCACCTGTCCACTCCAGTCTGCTCTCCGATCATGGACACACACTCTGAGTGACACAAACTTTCCGTTGTCTTTTTCAGGTTCTAGTACCGTACCTGTGATTATTGCTGTTTTCTGCACTCTTTTGGCTGTTGGCATTGTCCTGGGTGTGCTTTTCGCCAAAGGCTGCATCAGCTTTGAAAAATACGGTAAGTTTGAATGACTCTCAAAAAATGCACCGTCAAAGGAAGTTGTTTTTCTTTTTCCTATTTACACTCTTGACAGCCGTTTTATCTCTTCAAACACGTAGTATCAGTCAAAATGTACACTCAGAGGCATATCAAGTTGGTTTGATTTACTTGAGCATACTAGCTGATAGAAACATACAGTTAGGCTCATTGTATATAATGTAAATCAGGCCAATGATATTTAGGGATGGTGTTCGGGAGCAAAGTCACTGAACAGCCTTGTATTTGAGTCTCTGCTAATATTTTATCTTACAAATAGAGCTGCCACAAATCAGGTTGGCAGCAGGTTAGCTGTATTGATTATTTTATAACATCAAGTTACTGAAAACATTTGCTCTATTACTGTCGTCCTTTGGTGCCTCTCTCTGCTCAGCTGCTGTCTATGTGTAAATTATACCAGCTTATAGTGTAAAAAAGTGTTTCCTAAACAGACTATCCCTGGAAACTGTTAAAATGTTCAAAAGCATCCCTGAAATGAAAAAAAAAAATACAGTAACAAAATCAAAGTTCATGTACATACATAGTTTGACTGATCTGATGACATTAGGTTATGCAGTTAAAGTTGAAACAGAAGCAACCATAGAGGCCAGTGCCATGACCCCACACAGCACTCATGGCACCATCTTAAGGACCGGCCTGCTGAAGAATTGGGATTTTGAATCAGTTATGTTAGAAAATGAGTTGATTACAAAAAAGGGCAGGCTGGCTGACAGCCTGTGAACACATTTACAGCAGCTGTTTGCCTTTAGCTGTTTAATTTGAACTTCACAAGACGATCCACTTACAGTCTGGCACACACTCAAAGATTTTTACAACCTGATTTTGAAAACGTCACAAAATGACAGGTTTAACAGTTTTTTTTCCCTGTAGTGTGTGGTGTGCAACAGTGCATTAAACATCACAGACAAGAAGAGTTTTCATCACGCAGCCAAAGTCCCTCCTGTTAATGCATAGTGTTTACTGTCGTTGCCATGGTTACATTTGCTTCCTGCTGCGGTCAGCTTGTTCCCTGGTTGGCTATCCAGTTGTTCCGTGTGACAATGGACAGGGTGCATGAACCCCGAGCATGTTTAATATACTTCCAAGACAGGGTGGCTATGATTGTCTTTTGCACAGATCGGTGGGAAGAAAAATCATACAACCATCTGATGATCTGACTTTTTCTGACTTTTGTCGAGTCAGACCACAGATTGGCACAATTATCTTGTGGTTTGTGTCCCACTTAATGTCCCCTGAGCTTCAAAGATAAACCAGCGGCTTGTGCTACAAACTGCAGTTCCTCAAGTGCCCACCTTAGACTGGCTCCAGAAGTGCCAGAAACCCTGAACACTTATTCACTACAGCTCGTATTTAGAGCAAAAGTCAACACGATAACACAATAATATCCATTTCATAGATTGAGGTCAGGAGTGTGGCGAATTACAGGCGCAGTGACTTGACTGAGCACGCAGTCGCTGTTAGTGAGGCTGAAGGCCCACCTCTACTCCACCTTTGTGCCTCATGCTGAGTAAGGTTAAGTCATTGTTTGTATTTTGGCAACAGCTGCTGGCACACTTCAAAACCCTGAGACAAACAGGTGACATTACTGAGAGACTCTGTTCATGTATTATACAGTCTATGATAAACCCTGTGATGAAACTGTAGGAGAGATCAACATGAATATGAACTTATTTTTCAAAGCTAAGGAATTGGATTTTTTGTGATGTGATGTCTCTGTTTATTCTTACAGTTCAGAGGGACAGTCCGCTCTAAATGAAGAAAGGGAACATCCTAAAGCTGAAGTGTGTTTCTATATCCCTCCCTGAAAAGATGAAGTCGGCCGTTATCATTTTTTTTTTAAACCTGGTGGCTGATAAATAGTTTTAGTATTTGGCTGTTTTTGTTTTTTCTTGTTTTTCTAATTCAGTAAAATACTTCAAATCAATGATACTGACAGAAAAGAAACAACATTGTTGACCTTAAATGAACATTTCTCTTTATTGAACATGAGCAGAAAAACATTTGGTTCACTGAAATATCGCCACAAGGGATCTTTTGGATTTCTGTTCAGCCGTATGTATTCATTAAAAAAGGAAAAAAACAACATAAACGCTAACCTTTACTTGTTTTAGGTTGATTTTCAGTTAATTGAATGAATTCATAAAAAAGATTGGGTTTTATTATAAATTGCAGAACATGTCTAATATTTCTGTCAGACACAATATCAAACTACTTTGAGTTACATATTTTAACAGAATTGTTATAAAACACTTATGAAGTAAGTGTTTGAGGTTTAATATGCCACAACACATTATTATTTAAAACAGAGGACAGTAAAACCTGCTTTTGCTGATTGTTTCATAATACCATAAACCAGCTTTTCAATTAATCAGTCTGTCTGCAGTTTAAAGTTAGACTGATAACTGCAGAGGTTGTATCAACCATATGAATGAACATGTAAATATTTCTGAATCATTTTATTTGTATGTATTTTTAATTGATAGCTGCAGCTTAGAAAAGAGAGTGCCTCCAACACAAAAAGCAGGTGTCTAGATTTAGCTTTTGAAAGGTCTGGCTGAGATGGATTACTGTCCCAAAAATTAGACTTGACTGAATTTGTGTATTTTATGTTTTTTTTTTAATATCTCAGGTTAATTGTTACAGTTTAGCTGCTGAATGTGAAGCCAAACTCTACGACAAAGTATAAGGCCCACTTTAAAGCTCTTGTTTGGTTTGACTCTAGCGCCCCCGGTGGACAAAGAATTACCCCTAATCTATACATCAAGGTGTTTTTTTGGCTATAGTCTCATACTGTTTCCTCGAATAGTCAAATGTGTATGTCAGTTTCGTTATTTGTTGTGGAAGAAGTAAAAAAGGCTGTTTTTCTCACATGCTGTGAATTGTCTGGTCTGACATCTGTACCCCCTGCCTACAGGAACAACCTTTCTGCAGACTCTGCTAAGAGAGGCCGTTGGTCTTGTTTCTGAAGGTCTTGTTTAGTTTTGAATCCAGGAAAAGGTTTCACTTTTAATATAAGTCTAGTTCAGAACCAACTTGAACCCCTCACATGAGCTTTGAGAAAGAAACGATTTTGAGAATAGTCATTTGATTAAAAAGATAAAGTGGTAAAAAAAATAAAAGAAGTCATAAAATCCAAAAGTGTAACTTTTGTGTGACAAAAGTCTTAAGACTGTGAAGTAGAAGTTGACTGAGTTTCTTAATACTGAGGTCGCAATAACAGGATGTAACATAAGTCAGGTATTTGTTTATTTGGGAAACTTTTACTCTAGTTTAACTTAAATGAGGTTCAGTGTTATTTAAGTGAAGGAGGCTGGCTGCTTCTCAAATATTCACCCTTATTGTGACATGAAGGAAGAAATCGTTCTCTTGTTACATTAGAAGTCACAGATTTGAAAGATTGACTAAAAAATGAAGTTGGAAGCTTTTTTAATTGACCTTTTTCTCAGAGTATTACTGTTACATTTTATACATTTTTCCTTTGAGTTGTGAGAAAATTATTTAGAGAGAGTTTTCATTTTGGTGGTCCTTACCCTTCCATCAGGCAGTCACAGGTGGAGAGAGGAGAGCAGGGAGAGGAGGCAGGTGGGTGTCTGAAAAGCAGAGGGACAGAACAAGCATGAGAAAGAGAGGATGTAGCGACCACAGGTGTGCATGAGCATTAACAAGCTAACAACAACAATAAGTGCTCAAATCCTTGTTTCTTAAGACACAGTGTAAAAGTGCTTAGCACAAATAAAATTGGGTGTTATCACTTTTTTTTATCACGATAATGTTTTACAATTGTCACCTGGAAATAAGAATAACAGCTCTGAGTGTCTTAAAAGCTGGATTCATGTGTGCCAAAAAAGTTATCATAATAGAGTGACCAAATTTGCACCAGTTTTTATTCATTTTATTGCTATCCATTATAATAGCCACTAAAGACAGACTGATGCTGCTGGAAAAAAATTCTCAGATGTTTTTAATCTGGTTTCATTCAGATCTGTTTGTCATTTACTTCTCTGTTGTGATTCTGACTTCAGACAAAATTTACTAAAGTTTCTACCTGAATAATTTTTCTAAGTTCCCCACAATCTACAAAACTTGGCCTCTGTAGTTGTTGCCTGTCTGGAATTTATTGTGCACTTTTTTATTGTTACAGTGTGGTTTGTGAATTTTTTCAAATACAGTCATTAATTGTTTTAATAAAAAATAATATTATTCCCTTGTGCTGTGACCTTGTTTGAATATCCCTTTGTGTGTTTTCAGCTGCTCAAGAAACAAACTGAAGTTTACAGCAGTTAGGAAATAAGTCCAGTAGGGGGCAGTAATGCAGCACTTTGGAGGCCAGCTAGCAGGGACAGCCCTGACCATTTTGGCACTGATGAAAGAAAGCATTAGTGCTAATGCCCCCAAAACCAGGTGCTTGTCCAGATGTGGATAAGCAGCTCTGGCAATCTTATTGGTCAAGCACTGGCGCTTTCCTAAAATCCTGAACCCTGATTGGTCATTTGACTTGTCAGAGGCAGGCATGATGTCGAAATCAACTACACCACCTGTGTTACAACCGACTCATTTTTTAAATTTAATTATATGTAATTTTATTTTTTGGTGAAATTAAGTTTATTGAGAGAGGAAAAAAAATGTTTTTTGTTTTGTTTTTTCAGATGTGCTACATGATGAACTTAACTCTAGCCTTGGCCTCAGTTCCCCTGTTTACCTTCATCAACAGATCAAAAGTTCAGCTTGCCCTTAATGTGCTTTCACTCCCCTCTGCATATTTGGAGAAGTGATAACTGCTAGTTTAATGTTTGATATTTCCAACTTTTGGTGTGGTTTCGACAACTCAACAGTTTTAATGTCATGTGTATTGGACGTTTTTTCCCGCCCAAGGTCAATGATAATAGTGCCTGATATGCAATAAGTCTAATATCTGTTGCTGAGTGTCCATATAGATTCTCATTCATCCAGGTCATGGTTATCTCAAAGACTCCAAAATCAGGCAACTGAACTGTTTAAAGTTTGAGAAGATGCTTCGTTGCTTATCCAAAAAGCTTCTTCAGTTCTAAAATAGCTAGTGAGGGCACAGCCGGTAATAGAGTGGACGGTCAATTACTCCATCCTTTTCCAGCTATTGAAGTACGCTGATAACTCTTTTTGTAGCTGTTGGTAGGGTCCAATGTCAGAGCTTCATAGGTGGCAGTATCACTGAGAAGGCTTGTTACCTTGTCATGGTAATCCCTACTGTTAATTACCACCGTGTATTTCTCCTTATCTGCAGGCAAGATGGTGATGTTTTCATCTTTTTGCAGTGATGCCAAGGCTCTTCTTTCTTGGATGGTCAGGTTGGAAGGTGTTTTGGCATTCGAGAGAGCAGTTGTTACCTTCAACCTAAGTTGCTCTGCCTCTGCTGACTCCGTAGCTGTGGTCAGGTCTACCACCAGGATCTGTTCTGAGGTAACTGCAAAATTCAATCCTTTGGAAAGGACTCCTTTTTCTGGCCCAGTGAGAACCCTGTCTGACAAACTCTTCACCCACTTTTCTTGCATGTCAGTGTCTGTGTGGCTGTCCTTTTTGTCCCTAGTTCTGGTAGTCTTTTTGAGTGCTGGGAATGTAGCCCGTCAAATTTTTGTGTTTGTCTTTCCTTACCTTTGTTATGTTGTGAGATCTGAGCCTGATAAACAAAGTTGTAAACTTTGTTGATACCCTTCAGCTGGTCCGGGAGCATGAGAAAACTTGCAGGAGGATGGCGGATTACAGAAACTACGTCTGCTTTAACCGAAGATGCAGACAGCAAGGACTTGTTCCCAAAAGCTTAAGCTTGATCTCTACGGTTAAAGGGCACAGGGCAACCGGCATTCTCTCTAGGGCACAGAGGCAACTCCTCAATGAAAGGATTAGGCAGGTTAATATCACCATCAAGGCCTTACAATCTAAAATAAATCACACTGAGGAGACACTGACATCCCTACTTCTGGAGAATATCCTCAACAAGTTTTTAAAGATAAAAGTGCAGTTACTTTGGTCAATTCTGTTGTTTTTTAAATCAAAATAAAAAAAGAAATGAATCAGTGACGTGTAAATTTTCAATATATGTTGTTAATAGTTATACCGACCCTATCATTGTCAATTTAAAGGCACTTTTTTATCATAAGAGGGCTTACCAAGTGCACAGTCCAGAATTAATTCTGCCAAAGTTCATCAGAAGGCACTTTTATCATACTAAGAGAGCCTCCAGTACTTGATAAGCATTCATATCCACTGAGGCACTTTTTTCAGGGGGAGGGCACCAAGGGGCGATTGGTTGGCTCTCTGTAGGCTACTGGATATTTTTCTGAGTAACAGGCTACCTGCTGAGAGTTATATTTAATATAAAATGGAATATTCACAGATTTTGATTTTGATATCTGCATATATTTCAGGACATTGTGCATCCCTGCAAACCAACAGTTTTAACATAACTGTCTTGATAAAATAGCATGTCAAAAGCAGTAGTAAGAACTGAAACTGTGATCCTCTCATCAGACTCCTTTACTTTCTCAGTCGAGACACTGGCTCAACTTACCCCAGAACTACTATTATGACTTTATTAGTCCTCTGAGCTAAAATGGTGGACTAATGTTTTTGACCTCATGTTGTAGCTCATAGGTACCACAAATGATGTATAAAACAAATTTGAAATAACCATTTGTGGTCTAAACACAATTCCAATAAAACTTATAACAGACTAAATTTATTTTCAAGAATGAAAATGTTTTTTTAGAAATAAATATCTCACCCCTTTATCCAAGTGCTTCTAACCTTCACAGACTCCATGAATTGATGCCCACCTCCTAAATATTTGGTCACATGATCAATTTTTTTACAGTTTCTTAGCAACAAGGGGTGGCTCAACTTGCCCTTTGGGTCAACTTATCCCGGTTTCCCCTACTAAGTAATTGTGACTTCAGACTGTGATGAAGGGGTGCTCTTTTTGATCACTACTTGCTGTGACTTCCTCACTCATCGGCAGCTACATTGTGTGGAAAGTTTTTCTTTCAAGTTGTTGGACGAATAAAACTGTATGTGACCTGAATTTTGGTTAGGACACAGAGACTGACTTTGCAGATAGTCGGACTGATTGAATCTAGGGCTGAGTATTGGAGGGAGTCTTGTAGGAGTATTGACCAACGGCCTGTACTGGAACAGTACTCTTGGGAATTCCTTGCAATTTATAACAGGATGAAAGGAAAAAAGACAGATTCTGACAGCATGGAGTTTAGTGGAGACTGGAGAGGGAGAAAGGAGAGAAGGAGCATGGGAAAATGTAGGAAGGGGAAGGAAGGGAAAGAGAAAGAAAAATGACGAATCTAATGGTAGCTCAGCTGAAACGAAGAGTGAGGGAGAAAGAGTCTTGAAAGATAAAAGGTACAATGCTGGAGTACATTTTGAAGAAGAAGAAGGGGGACTAAAGAAAGTTGATCCATTGAAGTTAACAAAGATCATTAGAGCTGAAGTTTGAGAGGTGAAGTATAAAAGGGTTCTAGATGATGGAAATCTACTAATAGGAAGTGGAGAAAGCTAAAAAAGCGACAAGCTAAGGGAAACAAAAGTAAAGAGCAAAAAGACAAAAGGGAGTGATCAGTGGAAAATCCGTCACAGTCAGTTATACAGAGCTGCTGGTTCATGTTAACTTGTGTTTGTGAGTGTATTTTTATTTTTTTATTTTTTTACTTTTAAGCTGTCCAGAAGATATTATCTTAACAAGATAATGAGAGCATTGTTGACAAGATGATGCAGAACCAAAATTGGACATAAGGTAAATAAGTCACCACAGAGCTTTCTTTTATTTAAAGTTTATGTTTTTAGTATTTTCTTTACACAAACCCACAGATCCACCAGAGTTATGTGCTCCTGTTTTTTTGGTCCCAGTTAGGAGATGAGCTGCAGCATTCTGTATGAGCTGCAATGCCGACATACAGGGAATTACAGTAATCTAAACAAGATGTGATAAAAGCATGGATGACTTTTTCAAGGTCCTTCTGGCTTAAATAGGATTTAACTTTGAAGAGAAGCCTTAGCTGATAATAGCGAGATTTAACCACTGCGCTGACCTGTTTGTCAAGTTTAAAATCACCATCGATAATAAAACCAAGATTCCTGGCATGGGACCCTATGTAAGGTGTCAGACAAGGGAGCTGGCAAGGACCTGAACCAGGTTAGGGCGATCGAACAGGATGACCTCTGTTTTGTTTTCATTTAATTTAAAAAAAATTTTGATCCATCCATGCCTTGACATCATTCATGCAGTTAAGCACGACCTGCAGAGAGTCTTCGGTCGGGACCTTAACAGGCAAATACACCTGCACATCATCAGCAAAACAGTGAAAAGAAGCACCATGCTTTCTGAAATATTGACCCCAGGGGTAGCATATAGAGGGAGAATATTAGGGGACCCAGAACTGACCCTTTGGGAACCCCACACGTCAGAGGGGCACCTGTGGAAGAAAACTGGCCCATGTGCACAGAGAAAGATCTCTCAAAGAGGTATGATCTGAACCAGCTCAAAGCAGTGCCTTTGATGCCTACACAATGTTCAAGACGTGATAGGAGGATTGAATAATCCACCGTGTCAAATGTTGCTGTCAGGTCAAGGAGGATTAAAGAGGCACAGTTACCAGAATCAAGGTTTGACAAAAGATCATTAAAAACTTTTAAAAGTCACTGGAAAAGTGACAGTTACACATTACACGGTTAAAAGTGACGGTTACACATTACATGGTTACACCAGCTCTGAGTGGTAGATAAAGGCGGCATCTGCCGATTCATACTGACCTCCAGCTCACAGACAACAAAACTAAATTACTGATGTAAAGTCAGAGAACTTGCCAAATTTCCACAATACAATACAAATTTAATAATGTTATTAAAAGGCAGTAAAATATTCCAGAGCTGCCCAATTTGTAACTTGTCTGTTTCTGTTTTTGTTTTGTGGGAAATCACTAGCTGCTGATTTCTCCCACTGGCTGACGACTACCTGATGTTAATAAGTGATCCTGATGAAAGCCGTACAGTGTTTATTTAAATGTGAAGGTACATCCTGGAAAAAACAGTCCCTGAATTCTAGAAATAATTGTGATTAATAATCATGATTTGAATACTGATCCAAACAATGGTGATGACAAAACCACATGGTAAAGTAATGTAATACAATACCTCTCTTGGAAATTACTACAAATACTGTGACATGAAA